GAAGGTTCACCACTGTTCCATGTTTTCGCCATTTGTGGATAATGGCTTTCACTGTGGTTCGCTGGAGTCCCAACGCTTTAGAAATGGCTTTATAACCTTTTCCAGACTGATAAATCTCAATTACTCGGTTTCTCATTCGTTCCTGAATTTCTTTGGATCGCAGCATGATGTCTAGCTTTTGAGGATCTTTTGGTCTACTTCACTTTGTCAGACAGGTCCTATTTAAGTGATTACTTGATAGAGAACAGGTGTGACAGTAATCAGGCGGTGTGGCTAGAGAAATTGAACTCAGCTTTCCAAAGATGTGATAAACCACAGTTGATTTATGTTTTAACAGGGGGGGCAATCACTTTTTCACACAGGGCCATGTAGGTTTGGATTTTTTTTCCCTTAATAATAAAAACCTTAATTTAAAAACCACATTTTGTGTTTTGTGAAACATTTCAGTGTGACAAACATGCAAAAAAATAAGAAATCAGGAAGGGGGCAAACACTTTTTCACACCACTGTATTCAGGTTTGAACAGCTACTTTATGTACAGTAACAGTACAAGGATACAGGCAAAAAGTAAGGAGTGATAATGTCTTAGTCAAGAATAACTATTTTATTTTCTTTCTTGGGACTAGAAACAACGCTACATTAAATCCCACTTATTGGTTTCTACCACATCTCTCTCCCATTTTGTGAATGGTTCAGGCCAGTGCCAGCTGATCTTTTGCTCTGAATCCCCCTCTCCCCCCTCAGGAATCACAAGAATAACTAAAGGAGGGGGGTTTTCATGCTCTCTGCCAGGTATCAGTTAAATCACCTGAAACTAGCTGTGCTAGCTACACATGCAGGAGAGAGAAACCAAAACTATTTCACAAACAAACAGCAGTGTTTCGATCACAAGTGCCTTCTTGGCCTCTCCCTCTTTTTCTAACCCCACTCTTATCTTCCCTTTCTTTCACTTCCCTCTCCCTTTTATGCTGAAATAAAAAGGCAGATTTTTTAGATTCATGGAATTATTTAACTTTGTCAGAGGTTAGCAGTTAACAACGGAAAATGAATATTAATGTTGTTTTGTGAACAGCATTACTTGTTTTTTTCAATACAGCAATCAGGTAACTAACCCCCAAAACTTCACACTGACTTGCCCTCTACCTTTTCTGTATTTGTCACTGCAACAAACTGTCTGCCAATGTAAAAGAGCTTTTGCAAAATTCTGCAGCACATCCATTTAAAGCAGAAATTTAAACAAGCAGTAGCAAACCATAAAAAGAAAGTTATACAGTAATGTATATGAGGTACACTATTCTATATATTCTATCAATGTATTACATTTGGAGATTAAGGAAGATCAGCTCTGAAATTCAGTGTTGTGTAAATACATACAGTATAGATAAAAGAACAACCTTTACATACACTCTTATTTCAACACACTCATAGTTAAACTGATCCAAGTATTTAACAAATATCAGACAGGCCAGTTTTAGCCACATGATCTTTGCCCTTTTGATGACTACAGGCTTCCACTCAGGGGAATTCCAGCATAGGACACTAATCCCTTTGTCCCTGTGTTTAGATAAGTGCCTGCTCTCAGGATTATCTACAGGTCCTGGCTGAACTTTAAACCACATTAACAGCTCCTTAATGCAGATTCCTGTAAAACGCAGCTCACCTCCTGAAATCCACAATACACCCCCTCCCACACACTTCTCCAGCTCAGCTCTCTCCCTTGGGTGCTAGCAGGAGTGTACTGAAACTGAAAACACTCTTCAACTGACCTTACCCTGAGTATTCCTGTGCCACTTGTTCCAAGGGGCATATAATTCTCTGTATTTGTCCTGACGTTTTGAACTAATTAGCTGTTTGGATTTTTTTTTCAGCAGCAACATAAGACCTTCCTTCACCATGTCAACCTGTATCAGAAATTACTTTAAAATCTCAGCACAGGAAAATATTGCATCCCTCACTAGTAAATTTTGTTGCTTTAAAAAAGTTAAAATTTATGGAAGAATAAAAGACAATATTTTTATTTAAATGCTTTCTCATGCTCCTCTGAAAGAAGCAGAGGTTAATTTTAAAAAAAGGAAACTAAAGGATTCATTATTTAGTTAACATTAAAGAATGTTTAAACTTCCATCCATCCATTTTCTAACCGCTTTATTCATTACAGGGCCACAGGGGAGAACAGAGCCTATCCTGGCAAGCATGTTTAAACATAATGAATTAAATAATACTAATAGTGTATTTAGAATTTTTTACAAGATTCCCAAAGTGTAGCACAAAAAAATTAACAAACATATTAAAAAAAATAAAATAAACAAAAAATATCTATTCTAAATTAGGCATTATGATAGAAAAGCATAGGCAAACAAAATCATAAAATCAACCTAAAATAAACACACAACATGGACACTGTATATCCCTTTTAGAACAACAATATTCTAAGTTGAAATAGTAATGTATTGTGCGACATTTGATGCTAAAAGTAAAGACCTTAAATGAAATATTGTTAAACTCTAGTTCTCCATGGTCACATGGTCTTGGGGGCTTTCCTCAACTTTCAGTTACTTTATTGATTTAATTATTTGCTGAGCTACACAAATCAGACCATAATATCCGGGTCTTAAAAGCACTTAAAGATTTATGGGACCTATGAGAGCTTTGTCCCTCACAAAGTCTACTTTTGTGAACCTGATTAAGAGTGATGCCTCTACACACCTGTGATGTCAGCGTGTGCCTGTATGAAGAGAGGGTTCTTACTGAGTCCACCACACAGGAACAGTGTGTTGATGTCATATCCTGCCCCTTGCATAGTTTCCAGGATGTGTCTTGTTCCCAGCTACAGGTGAGAAGACATACTGTAATCACATATACTGTATGTATATATAAGATTTAAGACAAAACCCTGCAAATAAACACAGACAAATCTTTGTAAAGTAAGTTTTCTTCACAAATATTGAAGAAGTCTTCTTTTGGAAAAGTAATTTAAAATTAAAATATTTTTATTAGTTCACAGTTGTAGCACCTCATTGCAGGTGACCAAAATCTGTATACACATTAAAGTAAGCAATCTACAGCAATCTACTGTCAGCACTCCAACTGCAGAGCTAACACAGCTCCATTGGAAGTTATGTTAATTAATGTTAATGTTAATGTTAACTGCTAAGTTCCATTTTGTCTTGAAAATAAAATTTGACATTAAAAGCTTATAAATACAGTTGCTGATCTCCTCAGCATACTGCAGAATCAGGACTGTCACAGAATGCTACATGATCTGAGGCTGAGATCTGAAAGCCAGTACCCAGACATAAAAAAATCAAGGGGTCAAGTGAGCTCTGGTAAATACAGCTACTTTACAGCTACTTTAGGTATTTATTATTATGAAAGAAAATTATCAATAAGGACATTTAAAAAAGGACATGATTTCAGGACATGAGGAGTTGGGGATGTTGTACTCACTGCGATGGACTGCACTGTGGCCAGATACAGAAGAGCTAAGTCATCAAGATTTTGAGAGAGAGGAAGGCCAACAACCTATACAGAAGAACACAGTCACACACTGAGATTCATTACCACGGTGTTTCCAAACTAGTCCTCAGGACCCGTTAAAGGCCAAAGATGATGGTGATGGTGATGATAATAATAAGAACAATAACAATTAATTGCAGTTGCATAGTGCTTTCAGTGGATTCAATTTATTTACCACTGTGCAACAGCCATTATTTGTCAAGTGTCCCTCTATGCGGCAGACCAGGTGAAGGATTAAAGTAATTTAAGACACTGAATTAAGGGGAAATTTAGGCAGAACATACTGTGCAAACCCAAGGTGGAATTTAGGCCATCAGAATTAACACCATATCTCTTATGAACATTGCCCGGTCCTTTAATGTAACTATCTTTAAGGTCTCATCCAAAGGATAGCACCTCCTACAACAGTGTCCCCATTCACCACATGGTGGCATTGGTTTGGAAATCATGTCTCAGAAGAAAAAGTGCCACTTATGCAACATCACAATCAGGATCAACCAGGTTTTTCTGTAGACATTTCCTAACCCAGTACTGACCAGGCTTTACTGCCAGCAGCCATATCACCCTGCAACTCACAACTGGCAACCCACTGAAGCTAAGCAGGTGTGAACCTGGTCAGTACCTGGATGGGAGACCTCCTGGGAAAAACTAAGGTTGCTGCTGGAAGAGGTATTAGTGGGGCCAGCAGGGGGCGCTCACCCTGTGGTCCACGTGGGTCCCAGTATAGTGATGGGGACACTATATTGTAAAACAGGCGCCATCCTTCGGATGAGACGTAAAACCGAGGTTCTGACTCTGTGGTCATTAAAAATCCCAGAGCGCATCTCGAAAAGAGTAGGGGTGTAACCCCGGTGTCCTGGCCAAATTTCTAATTGGCCCTTACCAATCATGGCCTCCTAATAACCCCCCCTCTATGAATTGGCTACATTACTCTGCTCTCCTCCCCACTGATAGCTGATGTGTGGTTAGCGTTCTGGTGCACTATGGCTGCCTTCGCATCATCATCGATGCTGCACATTGGTGGTGAAGGGGAGTCCCCATTACCTGTAAAGCGCTTTGAGTGGAGTGTCCAGAAAAGCGCTATATAAGTGTAAGCAATTATTATAATTATTATAATTACTGAGATCTGAAGAGATCAGGCTACAAGGTGGTAGGACTGCTTTAAATGGCATCTACTGTACAGTACATAACTCTCTCTCCTGAAGCAGGAGATAATACATATTAACACAGATAAAGAATATTTATGAAAATTTGGAAACAAAGTAAGTAACACCTTTAGTTCAAGACAAGAATTGGAAAACTACTTCAGCAGTCAAGATGAAAGCAAATGTTTGTAATGCAAGATTCTTAAATCTGTTACTATTCATGGCATTTAATATGCATTTACAATTGAAAACACTCCTAATCTGTTTTGACCCTGTGGTTAGGAAACATTAAGTAAACATTTTTATAAAGACCATTTTCCAGCAACAGTAACACAACAGCTACTCTATTGAACAATTACTGTTCAATAAAAAAAGATAAATATTATACAGATTAGCAGGGACAGCATCCTTAAGAACACACCCTACAAGTAGAAAGATGTTGAAAATTTAAAAGTGAAAAAAAAGAGCAGGGAGGACACACACACAAAATTAAAACCAGAACCAGGAAACTTCTGGGCGATGCAATACCAGTTTTATTACTGTGGCAAGAACTTGGGGTTGGGCACCACTAGTGATCTAATTACATGCATTTGGTACTGAGCCAGCACTAGTCCAATTTACTGTATAGGAAAGTAAGTCCTACAAGAACTCTGTTCCTACTTGATAAGTTGCCTATTTTATATTTGGAAATGTAAAGATTTCCTTTTCATTGTGCTGGATGCGCGTACACTTTCCTACCCTTGTTCTGATTTCTATTTTAAAAAAAGTTTGATAAGGAATACAGACATGGATCAGCACCAATTACAATAGGAGAACCAGATGGTGTTGTTGCTTTAGTTCTCATTCCTCCATTCTTTCACAGACTAAACAGGCTCTTTTCCAGACCACAAAAACTATCCAGTATACAAATAATGCAGAATGGTATAAATGTTTTACATTGTGCATATCGAAAGGTAATGTACTGTAATTTGCCTTGATTAATGACTATGGGACTCCTCATTAAAAACACATTATTTTAGAGTTAAACACAATTTAAAACATGTCTCTGTCAGTGTTGCAGATGATTTCTGTGATCCCTGTATTCAAAGAGAGGATGAAAGTGATACCCCATTCCTATTTTACAGAGGCTATGAAGTTTACTTATGCCTCCAGGACAACAGACTAATCTGCACACCTGGCTATGTTAGTCACTGCAAATGGTGAAGTTAGGACTGTTACCATTCCTCTGTTAAAAGGAAATATATTAATACAAAATGTTAAACATGTAACTATTAATAAGTTTATACCAATAAAGGGAGCTTGACACACAGAGGGAAGTAATACATTTTTAGGGGAATCCATCATGAACCATCAAGATAGGATGATAAAACATTGAACATAAGAATAAAAAGAATCAAAAAATGAATTCTTGTGGTGTGATTATTTGGCAGAACGTTTAAAAGTGTATTTTCTACTTCTAGACAAAATAGGTTAAGTGTACATTTTGCATTACATACTGGAAATTCAAGGGACTGTATTTCACCCGTGTAGTCAGAAATGGCCTTCAGAATTTTAAGTGCCATTAAAGAAATTTAAATTTAATGTCTGTGGGATGACAATGTAAATTAGTGTACTTAAAAATAATAAAAAATTAACTAATTTGCAATTAAGAAGATATGAGAGGCAATAGCCAACAATGTAGAAGCCATAAGCCAGCCAAATGAATGAAATGCTTTTGCATATGTCTGTTAAAGCTATTTGTAACATACATGAGCAACAGGTGTTTCAAATTACAACCTCGAAGCTCATTAACTTGATCAGCAAAAATTGCATGTATAGGAAAATGTGGATTCACAGAAAAGGATTCTTTATCTTGAAAAAAAGGCTTTGTTAATCAGGGACTTTAGAGATGTAGCATTAGGGACTAATATGAAAGTCCCTAATAGAAATTTAAAGCAGATCCACTTAAATGACAAAGAGAAAAAAGAAAAGTGGAAGCACAACAGGAGAATGAGAGCAAAAGGCAGTGAGAAGAAAGACAATGAAAAAGACACTATTCTTAACATCATTCATCCATCATGCAGCACTGAGGTTCTCTGTCAACAGTTTTCAAACATACATTACATGCATTAAATAAACTATACAGCATGTAGGAACTTTTTACATGTGTACTGAGAGAGGAGAGAAAAACGATACTACAGCACTGCTTGAAAGTATGTTAATCCTTCATCTTTCACGTGTCTAAGACAAATTATCTTTATAATATATAAATATAACAGAATATTCAATATTTTACTATATTTAATGAAAATACCCCAAATAATGGACACACGTACAAACATATATATATATATTATTTATGAAAAAAAATCATGTTTATTTAACAAAAACTCAAGGACCCTGTGTGCAACAGTAAGTGAACCTTTTAATTCAATAAGCAGTGGCAAATCCTTTAACAGCTATGACAGTAACCAAGCATTTCTGATAGTTAGTATTCAGTCTCTCACATCTGCTTTGAGGAAGTTTTGTCCATTGTTCCTTATAAAAACTGCTTAACTGCTCCAGATCTGATAGCTTTCTTGCATGAACAGCCAACTTCAGGTCTTTCCACAACATTTCTATTGAGACCTGGATTTTAAATTGACCATTCCAAACACATAATTTCTTCCTCTTAGTCCATTCTCTGGCAGATTTGCTGGAATGTTAATGGTCATTGTCATGCAGGTGGACCCTTTTTCTGGCTTAGCTTCAACTCACAGACAGACGGCCTGACATTCTCCTCCAGAATATTTTGATATGAGATTAAATCATAGTTCCATCAATGATGGCAAGTTGTCCAGGTCCATGGGCAGAAAAGCAGGATTTACATCAAACACAGCATGGCCAAAAAGATCAGTTTTAGGTTCATTGGTCCAGAAACATTCTTTCAAAAATATACAGGATCAGCCAGATGGTCTTTTGCAAACTTAAGACAAGTACTTATGGGAGGTTTCCCTCCCATGAACGCCATTGCTATTAAGCTTGTGTTGTATTGGTGAGGTATGAACATGGACAGCAGCTGCAGCAAGAGAGGTACAGTATGGAGATCCTTAGGTGTAGTCCTGGGGTTCTTTTGGAAATCTTGGATGAGTTTTCTTGTTGCTCTGTAGGACAATTTTGTAGGACATCCACATCTAGGTAAAGTGACTATTTCTCCATTTGAAGACAATTTGTCTTACAGTAGACTGACGAATTCCAAAAGATTTTGCAGTGGTTTTATAATATTTTACAGATGAGAACTTACAACACTCTTTCCGTGATTGTCTGAAGTCTTTTTAGATTGTGGCACAGTGCATTACACTTACTTGTTTGTGTAAGACGAAGCTGACTAGATTTCTTACCTTTATATAGTAGACAGCATCCTAAACCTTGATTGGCTCTTTGATTGGTTAACTTGGTACCCAATTATTTTAGCACCTGGTTATACTGGCCTGCTTGACTAATCTAATGAACCTAATGTGGTTCACTTACTTTTGCACAAGCACTTATAAAAGTAAGGGCTAATTTTCAATAAACAAGGATTTCACAATGAAAATGTAACATTTGTAGAACTAAGTAGGGATTCACAAACTTTCAAGCAGCACTGTACAGGTCTCTGTATTACACTCACCGACCAAAATACTGGGAACCCCAGCTGTATAATATTTGACCTCTGTGAGAAGGAAGAACATCCAAAGACCATCATAAACTGCAGCTCGAGAGGGGTAGCCTTTGACTGAGGATATGATAGATAGATAATACTTTATGAATCCCGTAGGGAAATTGATGAATATGATAAGGGCAATAAACTGCAAGTTTCACCAGTTTCCAGGAGGTCAGAGATCTGGCGATTGTTCAGGCCAGGTAGAGAGATGAAAGACTGTCTCATGCTCCTCAAGTAAACCATGGATTTGCTGCAACTGAAAGTGTCTATTCATTTGATGTGGGGGCATTACAGTGATTTTGTATAAACTGAGGTTAAATTTACAATCCCAATGCCAAATATCCGCAAGAGTTAAAACAGCAAGTCAACCACCATAACATGTCTTAAATATCCCATTCAGTGAATTGTATGCTCACACATCTAAAAGCGTCTTCATTTCAGACTGCTTTGAAGGTAGCTCACATGTCAAGACATTTGAGAATCACTAAATTCAAGACAGTGTACAACAGGGTACAACTATCTAAACTAGCTAAGGGCAGGGTTTTTAATCACACAGATCTCTAAACATTTTTATGAATAAATAACTAATTAATTAAATAAAAACTAGTTGTGTCAAATTCCTGAAATGGAATGGATCATATTCCCATACTTTATATACAGAAAAACTGTTTCTTTTTACCATTCCTTTCAAAGTGGGATCTGCCAACGGAGACCGGTTGCCATGGAAATCTGGCCAGATGTGCAGGTGAGCAGTGAGCACGTCCAGGGGTGCGTCAACACTCATCGTGTGCAGATGACTATTTAGGTAAGTATAGTTATTCACCCCACTACATAGTGCAAAAAGAAGAGAAAAGATATATGATAGTTTAACAAAAAAGAGTACTCAAATACAGTGAACTTACAGAGTACAATGTAAATTGTAGCTCACGTACCTTAAATGTAATATTTATACCAACAAATTAGTGGCATCATTAATGTGCAGTTAAAACAAAGGAATTAAACATCTAATTATAAAAGTTAAAAGAAACTTTTACTGTCTGCAGTGCACTGTCTATATTTAAAACATAATAACCATATGGACTTTAATAACTGCTTTTGTATTAGGTTGGGTAGCGAGAGTAGCAAATTAAAAGAGGACATTTAACAAAATAAATGAAGAAGGTTGCCGGTTCAAATCCCGCAGCCGGCAGAGGAATCCTACTTTGTTGGGCTCCTGAGCAAGGCCCTTAACCCCAACTGCTCCAGGGGCGCTGTACAATGGCTGACCCTTGCTCTGACCCCAGGCTCTCTCCCTGTCTGTGTATCTGTGTGTCTCATGGAGAGCAAGCTGGGGTATGCAAAAAGATTAATTCCTAATGCAAGAAATTGTATAGGGCTAATGAAGTGATGTTATGTTATGTTAAGTATAATTACCTGATAATACCTTTTAATTCATCCTTCATGTGTGCGGTTGTAAATAAACACTTGGAAGATAGCTGTTTGTAAAGAAGTGGTTTCAAAGGAAAGAACACAATATCTAACTTTAAAATGGAACTTTATTTCCTACCTAATGGTAAAATAGTGTAGTGCCTTACCACTGTGAAAACCCAGACTGTAAGGAACGTTACCTGAATCAGATAACTGTGTTTAAGTCTCACTAATTCATAACTTTTCTTGTTTTCCTGTTGAAGCTGGATTTGCTGATCCAGTCAATGAATTAGTCTGGGTACTGTAATTCAGAGCTAGACGATCTCACAAGGCTCACCTTTGTCTGTTTTATTATGATTGCTGGGGAATAGCAAGGCAATCTTGTAAAAATATCAAGCCATTCTACTGCATTTCCCATCACCCCTTAATTTCAGGGCTTGATACACAAAAAAGTGATAGAGAGCAGAACAGTGGGGTGTGCGGGAGGAGGGGGAGTGCGTTGCCATGGACAGTATTTAGGTTTTGGCTTGAATTCATAACCAAAGCCAGGATACGTGGTCCATAAAGACAGAGGGCACTAATTAAAACAACATGGGCTTCCTGGATTCCTGCTTCAGACTGGGTCACGTGCAAAGCCCTGTGCCGGCTCACAGTTCACTTTGGGAAAGCAAAACACATGTTTTACTTTATTAGTTGTTTATTTATAAAGGGAATAGAGGAGGAAGATTTAAGGGAATAATCAATTACTTCCATCATAAAAATGAAGTCTGGTAAACAAGTGCTTTAACAAATATTCCTCAGAAAAGGATTTGTTGATGATCACTTGAAGTTAAAAAACACGCTAGTTTCTCCAACTTACCAGTCTTTTATCTGCTGAGAAACAACTTCATACAACTTCATACACCATTTCTTTTGACATTCTTTAAAAAAAACTACTATTCCATCAATGAGCATTTATGTTTTGTAAAATTTTTAAAATATTTAAAAAGAAATATGTCTAGGTGCAATTAATACTTTTTTTTTTCAAATAAATTCTACACAGCAGTCATTTAAGCACATTACATTTTTTTCCTTGAAAACCCTTAAACTGCCCAGAGAAGGTTTGGTTTTTAAATTGCTGTACCAGACTCCAGCTGCAAACTTTGATGTCTATAAAGCACAAGTGTGGATGACACCAAGGATGTCTGCTGCTTGTGGGCCTGCTGAAGCTCTAGGCACTGCTGGTCTGCAGGCATGCTTGTATCAATTAATTAACCTATATATCTATTTCATTTTCATACAGAATCATTTTCCTGGTGAGGTTCACCTCAATGGGTCATGGTATAAAAATGCATAATGTAAGTGAAGTACAAGGGCTATGCACTGCATACAGAAGGTTCTCTGTTTCAAACAACACATTATGGAAATGATTTAAAGGTCCTCAACACCTTCAAATGCAGTTTATGGTCTTGTGGTCTGTAGTTAGAAGTAAAAACAGGTCTGAGAAAAAAAACGTAAGAAAACTACAATCGCAGTAGTTTCAGTCAAAGAATTACAATCCAACATAATGTTTAGTTGCTGCTAGAAAAGGTAAATTCTGTTATATTATATGACTTTACTCAAAACAGAGTTTTCTTAATATCCAAGATCCTAGAAGTGCATTCTATAAGAGTGTAAAAAGACAACTATAGAGGCTCCTGTGCTATCCATATGCCATTATGCTGTTCATGTGCTTAATGCAATAGAAATGCAAGAGAAAAACAGTTTTTACCAGCTGTGAAGAACAATTAAGTATGAAACTGTAGACTTAATAAAAGGTACCATACCAGGTTTGTCAGAAACTGGCTGACTAATGAAGTTCGTCTTTACCTGAACCAGAGTCAAGCCCTCAGGTTTTACAAGCCTTCATTATTGAAAAGTCCAGCTTGCAATAATAATTCACCGGCTCTTAATGTCTCCCCTGTCAGGCTCTAATGAGGTCCCTGGGGACACTCACATGTGCTTACAGCTTTAACCCCTGACTTCTCAGCAGATGTTTGTTTTGTTTAGAATCTCAGCCAGGCCACCAAAAGGTATGTTTTTTCAAGAATGCTCTCAGCATGCCAATGTGTCATTCTTGGTGCGTTGTGAACATGTTAGTGCTGACACTACATCATGTTCAGTAAATCAAGCTGGGAGCTGATTGTTTGGTGTTTTTCTTTAGTGTGTTACTTGTTAAAACGTTCACTCGACTGCCACCCAACATATCAAATTACAATAATTACCACATGACACAACATGATAGAGAACGCTAAATATTGGCTCCAATTAACAACATATGTACTGTATATGAAGCCATAATGTCATAAGTTTGCTCAAAAGAAAGGATTTTATTGCATAAAGTAGTGTCTGCTTGTTAATAAATGATTTAACTACACAATTAAGAGATCTATTCAACCACTTTACATAACAGAAATAATGAAACAAGGAGCTATAGAAAATTAAAATGAACGTCACCACTGATGATCTTTTATGTTCCTTAAAGATAAGTTATTAAACTACAGATGCCATCAGCTATCAGCACCATGCACAGTTTACTTCAACCAAAGAGTCACTGAGTGGTAACTAAGATGTGGAGCTGACAGGGAAGAACATACAAACCTTTCTTTAGCTTTTTCCTTTAGCTCAGGGAAGGCAGCATGCCCTTTAATCATATGGTCCATCTACAACACAATATAAACCATTAAGTGAAGCTGGAAAACAATCAAGGAAAAAAGTGTGACCAAGGTCTTTCTGTTTCAGCTGTGCTTTAGCTAATTTCTCTTTACTGTTAGAAAGTTGAAACCCATCACACTGCAGTGAAAGGTTGCTCCTGAACCGTGAAATTCAGATCATCCATTGAAATTCAGCGGGAACTAGGTGCTACAGATCTGCTCACAGTAATGGTCAGTCAATGTTAAAATAAATTCCAAAGCTTTTCGCACACATCTGGCACCATCAAAAGAGAACAAGAATACCCACATTAACATGCAAAAATAAACCAGCATAGTGTATCTTCATCCAACTAACCATCCATATATTTTCAAACTGCTTTATCCAATTCAGGGTCACAGGAGATTCGGGGTCAATGTGAATCTCGGAACCCTGTGCATCTTGGCAAGCAACATGCGCAAGGCAAGATACAACCATTCCATAGCAGGGCACACATAGACACAGACATAGGCACATTGTCAACCAGGGGCAGGTTTCCAAGAAGTAAATAAATCTACCAGTATGTTATTGGAGTGTGGGAAAAAACCGGACCATCCAGAGGAAACCTCAGGTTATAACTGTCACGATTATAGTCCCCCCTCCTTAAGGGTGCTCCAGCCCTTTCACTTTATTCTCTGCACCTGTTTCCCATTCCCAGCCCACCTTAAAAGCCAGGCGCTGACGCTCATCCGGGCTCTGCAGCTGATTTCCATATCGTGCGAGTCCGGGACCTGGAAGCGCCTGGTCCCGTTAAGTTTTTAATCTCTGTTCCCGTTCCTGTTCCCTCTCCGCCGGTTCCGACCCGGCCTTCGTGTTTTTAATTCCTTCTTCTGATGGATCACCTGGTTTTGGACTTTCTCGTGTGTTTTGGATTTTCCCTAAGGACTACTCTCGGATTGTTCGCCTCGGCCACACCTCCCCCGTGCACCAGCGCACCTTGGACACGCCCCCTTGTCTTCAGCCCCGTTTTCCTGCATGACATTTGCCTAATGTTTCCCCACTCCGTCAGACTGTGTCGTCCGCATACGGTCCGGAAAGAACTGTTCGCTACAATAACTAGGAGAACATCCAAACTCCACACACATATTACCCCAGGTCCAGAATTGAACTGGGGGCCCTAGTGCTAAGAGGCAGCAATGATAACCAATGTGCCACCATGCTGTGCTTACTGTATCCTTATTGGGTAAAAATATCTAAATAATTAAATAAACTAAAATGATTAATAAAGAAATTACAAACACAGTACATTAGGACTAATTTGACGGTTCATTACAGTTCCAGTTCATGGATATTCTAGGAAGAACCTATTCCAACTCACCAGTTTACCTGTGGCACTTTGTCCTGCTTCATTCAACCAAAATGCTGGAACCATTGCAGAGTAATATGGACCCCACACACCTGGTACAAAGACTGGCTGCTTGCTGATCTGAAAATAAAATGACATAATAAACTATAGAAAAAAGAAAAATGCAATATTAACAATTTTATTTGAAATAAAAAACACTGATTTCATAACTGTGTACTAAAACATTTATCAGACTTCATATATACAATATATTTTTATCTGTAAAGTACACTTATGTCAACTTTCTTAAAGTTGTTTTTTGTAAGTATAATGTATACTGTAGGTTCTCAAATAACCCTAAGAGATACATACCAAATGCATATCATCAAACATCACACATCACATTTGGAGTAAAAAATGTTAGAATTATCATAATTATTTTTTTAAATAATCTCCAACATTATTGTATTGAAATTACAATGATTTGTCTAATAGTATAATTAATATGGCTAGAGATTACGCTGACCTAAATGAGCACATATTTTACAACTATCATAAAATATACATTTTTCATTGGTTTGGTAGCTTTTTTGCATCAGATCTACAGTACATGGCATTTTATGTGTTCAATATATTATATTAAGTGAATGACAGCTATGTTGGGCTAACTTCAACATTCATTGCAGATCTTGCTTAAGACACTAAATCTAAACATTCATTTTAGACTGGCAGTGTTCTATTAAAAGATGCTTGAAGTGTTTAACTGAACTGCAACATCAGCAGTAGAGAGATTTTCCTCTCTGTGTGCCACAAAGATGGAGCCTCTATTATTTGCCATCTAAGTGGCACAGATTCAAAACCCTCACTTCTGCTCTTCTAGTCTTCAAAATTAATTTACAATCTGCATAACTCCTTAATACTCAAGTCAAACCTGCTTCTACACAAATAGCCAACAGAATAATCCACTGACAGTAAATGATTATTTTTGTTTAACAATTTTGTTTTATAAAACTATCAGAAAAAAACTCAGAATTTTCCAATTCCAGCAACAATCTGCGGTGACTAGTCAACAGATTTCAACAGTAGGTTAATTAAATTTTTGATTGTCGAGCTTCACTGTGTTAGACTGTCATTATATCCAGACATAAACTGCCCCTATATAAAAAATACAGGATGTAATAAAGGGAAGAGACAAGCAAGTGCAGAAAACATTAACTTTCATACTTTTACAGGAGAATTGCTTGTTTTCTTCTTTCTTCCCTTTATTTACCATTTCACCATGCGCTTGAGTTAGCCAACCCCCCTGAGCTGCAGTTTGATCTCCTCTGCTTAATGCACAACATTCAAATACTAATGTATTTCTACTTCACCTTTTCTTAAGTTTCCTAAAGCAAAAATCTCTTCATCTGATTTTATACATAAGTGCACACCATGTGAGTTTTTTTTCTTTACGATTTATGCTTCAGCTGCAGAACCAAATATATATACTGTAAGTATTGTAGGCAGTATTTATAATTGTAGGTTAGTAACTGAAGTGCCACTTACAATGCTCTGCTTCCTGGCATTCAGTTCAACAATAAAACTTTCTGTAGCTCTGAACTTTATTTGTCCCTGTACATTAATGCAAATATAACTCCTTCCAAAAAGTATTTTCTATATTGTTGTGTCCTGGCTCTACTGTCTCTGTTGAGTGTTAACTACAGAGAGAGGAGGTCACTGGTTCATTTCTCTGCTTCGTGTTTCAATAACACTATTCATACTGACATGCTCCTCTCTGCAGACATCTCCATATAGATGGGAGCAGGAGGGGCTGAACCTATAGATAATGCACCAACACCACACCTCAGGGTCAAGCCACTACAAAGCCAAAGCAAACCAAGCTGCAGTGGGCTACCCTGCTCTTACTGGGAAAGCTGTGGGTTTATTTGTCTAAAGGAATGTACACAGGCAACTCTCTGAAGACCGTCTACATTGATTTCACTACAGGACCTTTTGACATGGGGAAGAAATTTGCTGGGTCAGAAGGGTCAGCCTGCTGCACTCTTCACCAGGTTCACCTCACTAGAAGGGTCAGTTAAAAATAACATCTCACCTGACACAGGGCAGAAAAAATAGACACTTTCAGTAACTGCCCTGAAGGATTTTCACCTCTTGTATTCTATTCTAAGGTGTCATTTGTACGAAACCTTCAAATGTAAACTTAAAACATTTACACAACGAATCTAGTTTAATCAAGTAGCACTGTTAGTTATTATATCACTCATTGTTTTCTCTTGATAATTTCAAAAAAAGAAAGTTGCTGTTTAAGAGAATTTAATACAGTGCATTGGTATCAACATTGCCTTTACTGTACATGTGGATTAATTTTCAAACAAATAATAAAGAAATAAAAATAAAACTATCAGAAAAAGCAATGGGTCAGAAAGGCATCATGTACAGAATAAGGAAACTTTCTTTCTAATATTTCTCTACCATTTTTATCACATTAAAATGTTATACAGTAAACATACATATTTTGCTTGTGTCACTACCTTAACAAATTTATATTTCTGTTTCCTTCTGGGCAGAAAAGCATTACAATTGTTAAAAAGTGTTTACACACAAAATACAGTGTGTAACATCGTATCTTCAACCTGAGTTCCTCTCAACAGGGACAAATGCTGCAAAGCTGTCACATAGCCAGGAAAAAAATCATAAGAAAATGTGACTGGCTTCAGCATAATTTGCAACATGTCTTTCTTTGCAAAGAGGTCTGCGCTACACTTGTAAATAATATTGGTATTTACTAAGAAGAGTAATAGTGCAAAGTATCAAAAAATACTTCCAGCATAGAACAACCAGGCAGTCTTTTGATAGAAAAGCTTTTGGAATTTCTGGCCCAGGTCTAAATTTAAAGCTCATTTGTGGTTACACGAGGATCTACAGTAGAGCAATTAAAAGCTGAGGCATTTGTGTTTTCCCACAGCCACACTTCTACAAATCAACGCTAAGACTTGGCACAGAGACCTGTCATCTGCTTGGCCTTCCACAGGCCCAGAGCACAGATGCCTTGGGAAACCTGTGGCACACAAGAGCTTCCAGGGTCACAACAGGCCTGCAGGGCTTATTTATGTTCCTCTTTAAAATGTTCCACCAGCCAGCCAGACTGAATTCCATTTGCCTCGGTGCAGGAACTTTAGCAAGCAGACACTGGTTTTAACCCTTCCTACCACACACACAAAGCACTCTTACAATAATTTTTTCTTCAGAGTTATATCTCTCCTGATTGATGATTATATTTATGCACAGTGACTACATAGATTAGTCATTTTTTAAAACATTACAGGGAACAATTTAAAAGGCTTTTATCTGCCTATCTGCCATTTGTCTGCTGTTATTTTACTACCTTCTACAAGTCAAATAATGCCTTACAACAGCAGTTGAATCCTAAATGGCCTGAAAGGACCTAAACCCATATATGTCTTAACATTCAAAAAGTAAGAGGTCATTCTGAAATATTCCACCTCCAAGGGCCACTATATTACAGGTAAATGTGCTGTTTTTTCAGGTCACTAAGCATTACTGACATCATACTTTAAATTAAAATCATTATGTTCTTTTAACTTAAAACATTCTGCAACTTCTCTGAAAAGAACTTCGAAAAGGAAAAGAGTTGATTTAAGAGGCTTTGACTCCAGGAGAAAAAGAGAAACTGAGAAAGAAACAGAGGAGCTGGCTCATCTGTTCCTGAGGATCAGCGGTGAACATTATGGGGCTAATCAGAGGCCTAAGACGAAAAAAGCCGGAGATGACTCTGCAATCTGTTATTAGTTTAAAAAAGAAAGGGCGTGCGGCTGGGTTAAGCATGGACCAGCTTAGCCAGGAATCAACAGTGTTGTGAACCCCAGGGCCATGAACCTCGAGTGTGGGCCAATAGGGTGTAACCGGAGCCAATAACAAGCAGATGTTACAGATTGACAGAAACACAGAGATTTGAAAGCTTCTCTGAAGAAAAACAGCTGAAACGCCCTGCATGAGAGATACAGTAATGATGCCCCCACCCTTTTAAAACTAATGAAAAACCGCTGTCCAAATAGTGCATTATTGCCTAGAGACATTAGAAAATATATCCACAGGCTACGCTGACAGGCTGTAGGGCCCGATCAGCATATTAAGTTCCCCACAATGGAGAGTTCAAGTGCTCAATTACTTGTGTTCTAGTAACATTTAAACAGACATCTGACGATTGCAAGACAATCAAACATTCTACTTCTGGCCTGTTCATAAGCAAAGACACACTTATAGGTTCTCAAAGAATCTACACAGTTAAAAATGCAAAATGAATGGAAAATATGTTTAAATACTTTGCAACACTGCAATTATTTTAAAATAAGTGTAATTGAAAGAAAACCCAACTTCACCCCACCTTAACAAGGCATTCACACATTTCTAGTTCAGTCTTAAACACTTGCCACTTAGTCTCTTAAGTGCTTAGAAATAATAAAACAAGCTGAGGGACAAATTTACTCTCTATAATGATAAGCTCCCAGCAGGGATTTATTGAAGTGTTTTATATGACTAGGGAATTCTCTAGTTTTGCTCACACTTTCTGTGGTTACTCAAGGATCAGCCCAATTAATATGCACTTCACACAATGCAAAGAGTTAATGTATTGGAAAATTTCAAAGAAATTTCAATTTCTTTCTTTTCATCAGTCCTTGAAGTTGCAGTCTTCAATTTACTGTCTCCTGAATTATTATTATTATTAAAAGCTTTCTGGTGTTTTTGTATGCCCTTATTCATACATAGCTTTTCTCAGTATGACATCATCAAATGTGCTCACTCCTTAACACCCAGAACATTTAGCTTTGCATGACTTGAATACAAAGCTTTAAAACAGAATCCATGAACATTTTAACTTTTCTGCTATTGAAAAAGCAACATATTCAAGGCTATAAAGATGTGCAGACATTATCACAATATATTTTCTACACTTAAGAAAATCTTGTGTGACTTTGATGTCTGAAAAATATCCATGTATTATTTGTTCAAAAGCAGCAAAAAATTGTGATATCTTACTATCTAAAAATGCTAATCAAACATTTTATCAAACAGTCTTCTTCAGTTTTACTTCACTTGGTTGGAGAAGTTATTATTGCTTG